GAAAAGGTTTAAACCTCGGCTGGCTATGGTCGAGTTTCCTTGCACACCGTGGAGCATCCTCCAGAGGAATGTGAACTATAAGGGAAGAGAAGATGAGCTTCGAGACCTACAAGAACAAGACCGTCCTTTCCTCAAGCTCACGGAGGATGTGTTCAAGATTCAGGTCGACCATGGTGGTCACGCCATCGCTGAGAACCCTGCCACAGCAGACTCGCAAAAGCAAGATGAGATTGTACGACTTCGCAACAAGTACTTCGAGACCACTTCTTGCTTGTGCATGTTTGGTTTGACTGGCAAGGCAGGGCTACCTATGAAGAAGCGAGTGAGGTTCATTGCCACTCACCCCTACTTCATCGAGGAGCTGGACAAGCAGTGTGATGGCTCGCATGTCCATGAATTGGTTGAAGGTTCCAACACAGCAGCTTCAGCCTGCTACCCTCCTTTGTTGGCTGATGCAATTTGCCGTGCCTACTGGAGAATTGTTGTTGAAGAAGACTTTGGAACCATGACCCTCAACGAGAAGGACGATACCAACACTGCCTGGTTCGTGGACGCCGACAAATCTGAGGACAAGTGGCGCCCCCTCTTCGATGACGCCATGGAGGTGTTGGGTAGGAAAACACAGGCTAGCATCTTTCTTGCTCCGGACTCCGAGCTCTATGCCAAGATTGCCCGTTTGGTCCCTTGGCAGATCATGAACATCCAGATAGCTCACCTGCCTAAGGCTAAGAGAGTCCGACCTGGCTTGGAAGATTGTCACCGCTGTTCAGCACTCCTGTTGAACGACGACTCCATTGTGCTTGAGACGGAGTTCTTGAAGACTGCTCAGGCACCAAGAGAACGTTTTGTGCAGCCGGTGCGCCTGGCTATCTTTGTGCTTGGGTACGCTCCTGGTGACCCAGCAGACCCTGCTCCACAACAAGAACCTCCTCGACAACCAGTGCCGGTTGAGCCCCATGACGATGGTGCCCTACTAGAACCAAAGGAGTCTCCGGTCCTCACCAAGCAGACCTATGCAGATGAGCAATGGTTCATTGGACCGCCTTTGACCAACAAGCAGAAGAAGTTGGCGCCTATGTTAGTCAAGGTTCACAAGAATCTGGGCCATCCTGCACAACCTGACCTGACAAGAGCTTTGATACAAGATGGAAAAGTTGAGCCCGATGCCATTGAGTTGAGTCGAAGACTGCGCTGTGGAACATGTGAACGTTCCAAGAGGCCTGGGATTCCTAGGCCAAGCTCTTTCAAGGTCATTGGCGCTTTCAACAGCAAGCTCTGCATCGACTTCGTGTATGTCACCGACGCCAACCAGGACAACCACGCCTTCTTGCACCTTTTGGAGCCAAATGGGTCTTTCAATGTCTTTTGGCCGTGTGACACCCGCGAACCTGGCCATGTCTATGACCTGGTGACCATGCTGTGGTGTTCATGGGCCGGCTACCCAAAAGAGCTGTGGGTTGACCAAGATGGTGCTTTTCAAGGCGAGTTTGCCGAGAAGATGCGCAGCAACGGTGTCATTTTGGACCACCCTCCTGCAGCTGCTCATTGGCAAGTTGGCGAAGTCGAAGCTTACAACCGTGCTTTCCAACACCTCGCTGCTAAGCTAGTGGATGAGTTGAGCTTGGCTGGAGAGCGCGACATGAAGACGCTCGCATGTGCAGCTGGAGCTGCCATGAACGACAAGATTAGATCCGCTGGCTGCTCAGCCTATCAGTGGGTCTTTGGGAAAAACCCCTCCTTGCCTGACGACATTTTGTCCCCAGACGGCAAGTATGAAGCTTTGCAGGCCATGGAGCTCGATGATGAACTCCGCAAGAGAAACCGTGTTCGAGCATTGGCCGATGAGAAGCTGGCAGCCTACAGATTGAACGAAGCTGTCAGGGCTGCGATACTTCGGAAGTCGCATCCCATGAAGGAGACCTATGACCCTGGCGAGATTGTTGCTTTCTGGCGTGAAGCCCGGTATCGGCAGGGGAAGAAAGGTCAGAAAGGGAAACGCATTCCTGCGGCATGGTACCGTGGTACTATCATTGGACCACACAAGGGCGACAGCTCCACCAAACAGAACAACTTCTGGATCTCTTCTGGTGGTAAGTGTGTGCTTGCAGCCCGCGAGCAGATTCGCCCAGCTTTTGGTACCGAGCTATGGCCAGTTCACGAACACCTGCTTCAACAAGTCCAAGATAACCCACCGGAGGAGTACTATGACATTCGGTCTTCACAACTTCCTCCAGTACCTGAAGACGACGACTTGGAAGAAGTGCACGCCGTGCCGGTGTTCGAGCCGGAAGAGGAGCTACTTGACCGAGCCCCTGAAGAAGATGAACAGGCCATGAACGCAGAACCTCATGAAGATGGACCTCCAGAACCAGGTGAAGCTGAACAGTCCCTTGGTTCTGACCACACTACGTTGGCCCCTGAGACTTCCACAAGAGCGCCTGGAACACCTGTGACGGGCATCATCCGCCCGATGGAACAGCCACCAGCTGTCAAGAAGCTACGTGTGACTCCAAGTGGATCAGCAAGTTCTGCAGCAGGAGCAGCACCACTACAACTGGATGTTGAGCTACCTGCCGCCTCACCTGAAGTTGCACGACACACTGAGCTTGTTCTGCGAGAAGACCACTGGGAACTACTTCCTCACCGAGGTCTACTTCTCCGACACCACCGACGTCCTCGACGAGCTCTTTTCGACCCTGGTCATGTACGTCGACTACCGGTTCATTTGGATGCTTTTTCTTCCCGGAGAACGACCTGGATGCGTGGTCGAAATGGATGGTCAAAGCATGTTGACGACTGGGTCATCAACTCTGCCAAGGTGATGAACCAACCCTGGACAGGTACGACCATCTTCAAGCTCACCCTGAAGAACAAGGACTTCGAGGCACATACCGTTCTCGAGGTGGACAAGCAGCTCACCCGGAAGGAACGGAAGGCTTTGGAGAAGGAGTTGCCTTGGACTTCAATCCCGGAGGAGCAGAAGCCTTTGTTTCGTGAGGCTTTGGTTCGTGAATGGACTACATGGCTTCGCTACAAGGCTGTCGAAGTGCTGGACCTCGCCTGCAGCAAGCATGTGGAGAGTCACTTTGACCCTGCTCGCATCCTGGCTTCAAGGGTGTGCTACCGAGACAAGCACGCAGCTACACCATGGCTGGAAGTGAAGCCAAAGGCACGTCTTGTATGCCGTGGCGACCAAGACCCCGATCTTTTGGAGCTCCGGCGAGACGCGCCGACCATGACTCGTTTGAGCCTCATGCTCATCCTGCAGCTCAGCGCCGCCTGCGCTGATTGGTTTTTGGTGTGTGCTGACATCACAGGTGCCTTTTTGCAGGGAGACCAGTCTTTGGCGAGGCGGAAGGACCCCTTGTTCATCCGACAGCCTCGTGAAGGTCTACCTGGCCTACTTCCTGGTCAGTTGTTGTTGGTGGTTCGTGGTATTTTTGGACTGGCCAACTCCCCCAGGTTGTTTTGGCGCTATTTGCGGGATTCCCTCATCAAGCTTGGCTTTGTGCAGTCCACCTTGGACAAGGCCGTGTTCCTCTTCTACAGCGACCATGAACTTGTTTTGGTTGTTGGGGCACACGTGGATGACCTTTTGTGTGCTGGCAAGCCTGGCATTGGTGACAAAGTCTTGGACTCGTTGCGCTCCCAGTTCGACTTTGGCGAGTGGAAGGACATTCGCACCGAGCCCACCTTGACCTACGGCGGCAAGGAGATCACCAAGCGCGACGGCATTGTGACCTTGTCCCAGGAGTCCTTCATTCGCGCACTGACCCTGACACCAGTGCCGAAGTGGAGAGTGCTGATGAAAGATTCCAGCCTCACAGCTCAGGAAGTCACAGAGCTGAAGAGTGGTGGAGGATGCCTACACTGGCTTGTTGGACAGACACGTCCGGATTTGGCGGCAGGGACTTCGTTGGCCATGGGAGGACAACCTACTGTCCAGAACCTCTTGGAGATCAACCGACTCCTCCGAGATGCCCTGAAGTCCAAGGACTGGTGCCTCAAGTTTAGGCAGATCCCCTTAGAGTCCGCCAGAGTCATTGGCTTTTCCGACGCGAGTTGGGCCAATGCAGACGATCTGAAGAGCCAGGCGGGCTACTTGATCTTCCTCACCGGCCCGAACATCTTCACCTTGGAGGGCGATGTGGCCAATTTGGTCGAATGGCGATCCCACCGGATCAGAAGGAAGTGCCGGTCAACGCTTGCAGCCGAGACCATGGCTTTGGACGCCTCGACCGATGCAGCGATGTTCACCAGAGAACTTTTTGGCCGAGATGCTGATCGAAAGCTACATGCCGACGCAGTCTGGCAAGTTGGACCCTAGCATCCTGCCTGTGGCGAACGCCACCGACTGCCGGTCCCTCTACGACCTCCTGTGCAAGGATGGCCCGGTCAGCTCGACCCAAGAGAAGCGGCTCACGCTTGACATCGGAGCCCTTCGTGAAGCTGCAGAGGAGATCGAACCCTCCAATGAGGACATCAAGGAGGTGTACAAGTGGGTGTCGACCCAAGTCCAAAGGGCCGATCACCTCACGAAAGTGAAACCCAGTCACGAGCTTCGTGACATCCTCGACGAAGGACACCTCTCTATGGTGGCTACAGCTGACGCTGCGGTGGCGACCTCTCCTTTGCCTACCAGCCGCTCCATGCAGCTTTTGAGTCGCGTAGCTCACCTAGCCTCGAAAGTGACACACTTTTTCGTCTTTAAAGAAGATAACCAGTGCAAGAATTCCAAGAGTGCGTCACGATCGAGCCGATCGGTCTAACCCCATTTTCGCCGCAGGGCCCTTGAGCTGTCAAAAGTGCGCGAGCGGCGCCTTTCCCCCTTTTTCCATGACGTGTGAATCCGTCTAGTTGCACCCACAACATACAAAAGTCAAACGACGACAACAACAACATGATTAAAGCCGTCATGTTCGGTAATAGCGCTTCGGGACGTTCCAGTCGTCGACCTGAGACGGGAAAGTGGTGCTTCGACCGCTCGACCGCTGACCCAGGTGAGTCGGATCTTCCTGACGCTGTTGGAGGAGGAAGAGATGCTCGGCGCCGGGTTCACGCTGCGGCCCGCAGCGTGCGGGTCGCTGCGTGCGGGTCGCAGGTCTATCCCTTCGGGGTGCTGGTCGCCGGGCGAGAAAGGAACGGAGGGACACCAAGGACGGAACAGGACGCCAAAAGCGGCGGACTGCTGAGCGCCAAGCGCTCTGCTGAGTTCAATGTGCCTGTGCGTGTCAATCGATGTTTTGGCGGGATAGGGATCGGTGATGGTAGATTCCTGCAGGAACGAAAGAACCCCGCCTGCAGCAACCCAGAAACCTTTGCGTTCAGTCATGCAAGTACCACAAGTGAGTTTGATGGAGCAAACATGTCAAAGTTGCGATTGAATTCGGAATTGTAGAGATTGAGATAGATGGACTATTTACAATATTTTACAATCTAAGAATGGCCCAAGAGTCATAGCAACACTTCTTAAGACCCTGGTTGTCTAGCAGGAAGGTACTGTTAGCAACGTTTTCTTCTCCGAAAAGCAGCACCAGTATTCTCCTGTGAAGCATCGCCACCCAGGAAGTACAAGAAAGACCCCACGGCCTGGGTGGAGCAGCAGAAGGGAGCTAAGCCGTCTGAGGCACACATGATTTTGGTTGATCAATCAAGCTGTTGTTTTTGGCTGATTTCGGATCCGCGGATGTCGATGGGAGTTCTTGTGACGGTGGACGGTGATCTTGCGCCAGGAATCCAGATATTGTGTTCAGTTATATGGCTGGAAGGATGCATAATATGGATGATTACATAATGAAATTCTTTCGGGCAATCCCCCAATTGCTGTCAGTACAGAACTCCGACAAATAATTTGGTGTTGATGAGGCCGGGCAGGCCGTTTTCGGGCCGCTGCTGGGACCCTACCCTTCGGAAATCTAGATGCACTGCATCTGCATAATATGTTGAATTCCTCAACTGATGACCTTAGCCAAGAATTCCGAGACTGATCTCATCCTGGCCAAGCCTGCCTTTGTCCAAGCACTCTTCAGCACATCGGAGTCTAAAGCCAGAGTTTTGCAAATCGATTCACTGGTGGCAGGTCAAAGGGAGGATTTTGTCCACCGTGGGTCCTCTTTCGCACGGACGCTGTGGACAGTGGACGGAATCCAATAGCACCCGAAGAGCTCTAACTTAAAGAAAACCTTCCTTTGGACTCATCAGGGAAGTGGAGTTCACCACCTTTTCCCTAGGCCTCCAAGGACCTTAGAAGGCGTTTGGGGTGGGTTTAGAGGGTCCGAATACCTTCTAAGGAGGTACTTGGAGCCCTAGGGTTTTGATATTCGACACATGGTCATCCGAACTGGGGACCCTTTTCACGACGATTCCGAGTGGAGTCCTGCGGCGGTTTACATAAACCGACAGCTGAAACCACGGTTTTCCTTTGGTTTTCCGAATGTCTTGAATGAAAAAGCCTTTAGAACCGTAGCGCCTCAGCAACCTTTGAGAGGTTGAGAGGCCTTATGGAACCCGTTTTTGAGTGTTACATGTTGAAAAAGGGTGGCATAGGCGAACCAAAAGGACTTAACACTTAGCACTATTTGCTCAGATGGGCCCTTGGCAGCGGATGAGAGCTGGCGAGCTGGTGGAGTCCGAGGAAGGCGCGTCAGATGTTTGATACATGTTGAATCATTTTGACACTGTATGTCTTCAAGAATCGTAAAAAGCAAATTGCCACAAAATTTCACAGAACTGCCAGTCAGACAATCACCATGAGTCAAACGAGACAATGAAGGATATATACAACAAAGGCTGACTGGTGCGACTTGTAGGGAATGAGGGAATGACCCCTCACTGATAGATACCTTTAGGATCCAGCCACCCTCATTCCTTACTAAGCACCAGTCGTGTCAGTTATTTTGGGATATTTTGGGCCCCGGTCACATCTTCACATGTGTCCCTAAGTGGCCAGTTCAAAGCCACCCTCAAAGGTGGTTGCTCTCTCAAACTCATGGCTGAACACAAGGGTGTTGAGCTGAACGGCCTCTTGAAGAAGGACCAACTTCATGCCCCCGGTGGACCACACGCATTTTGGCCATGCCAACATTGTAGAAATTGTTGAATACAGCCACCCTTCAGTCAATGACATGAGGTGTTCCACTCCGCTTTGTCGTCTACATGAAGTCATGAAGACCATTGGGAGGCAACCTCTTGGAGTGTCTGAACTTGGCGCTGAATCACTTTGACCAGCACCACCTGGATCGAGACCTCAAAGTCAGTGGCCAGGTGGGAGGGTCGACCAACTGGGCAGAACGCGAGTGGCGAAGCAGAGCGAACCATGGCGAAGCTTGCGCACTTTGATCAATTCTGGGTGGGTTGCGGTTGAGGGTGGAAATGATCTTGCAGGTGGAACATGGTGGAACTCACAGAAAGCTCATGTCTTTGTTTGCTGTATGAAGTCAAAAAGATACTAGTACTCCACAATACTCTTATATATATACATACGCAAATACATATAGGATGATAATATGGTAACACATGTAAATGGTATTAATATTGTTATATAGATTTATATACAATATATATATATATAGTACACCGTTTGTGGCTGAGCTGTCTTCCAACCTGGCAGGTGGTGGTCATCATCACCGCAGGCTGTGGGCTCATCCGGACCCGCACCAAGGAGCTCTACTTGTTGACGAATCGTCGATGTGCCGTGGCGGTGCCGGGTGGTGCCGGGTCGGCTGTGTGGGGCATGGGGGTTGGTCTACAGCCTTCAGAGGGTAGAGTCAGGCTTGAGCCCCGAGACACTCCTGGAAATGGAGGTTGGAAGGGGGGTGGACCAAGAATTGGTGTGAAGAAGGGTTGAAGAAACTGCGCAATCGTTGCATTGAGCCTTGAAGGAGCCCTGGAGAAAACAAAAACAGAGCACATGCAAAAAAGATGGGTGTGTTGGACAGTCTGGCTACATCGGATCAGCAGTGCTCCTCACAGGTCAGAGGTGAGGACAATCGAACACATGTGTGTCTTCAAACACAATTGGCGCAGCTTCCCTGCTGTGGTTTCAGAGGTTCGATGCCACAACCCCAAGGGTGGTGGTTTATATGGACCCCCATTTGTCTAGGACATCTTGAGGTGTGCGCCATCTACTCCGAAACCACCGTCACTGTAGGTGTTTGGTTGGAATTGGGTGCCCAGTTGCTTAGCCCTTATGAACCGGTCAGACATCACACATCCAGATGTCACCCTGCCACAAAGAAGCAGTCGCTGCCCCGCAAGAAGCAATACCCATGTTGAAAGCTACAGACTCAGACTCAGACCGCAAATCTGGCTTTTCCCTCGTGAAGGCTTTCACAAACCCCATGAATGTCAGGTACCAGGTACCAGTGATCATAACCTTCCAGGGAACTCGGCTCTTATCACGTCCTTCCTCAGGTCGTTCTCAGGTCCCAGGTGACGGTGAATCGTCAACATCGCACCAGATCTGAAGAATGTAGACTCTTGATTAAACAGATCAGTTAGTATATACCCTTAATCAGGAGTCTACATTGCATCTACAACCAAGTTCCAACATACGATTCCATAGCATCGGTCCAACCAATCCGCCTGGACACCCTGGACTTGGTTCAGCTCAAAACAGGGCTCCGTCCAGTACGCAGCATAAAACAGACTTGGTTGGATGATGGCAACACAGTCACTTTGTTGTATATAGATTTCTGCACTCCACTTGGTCTTAAATAGGACCAATGCATCCTGACCACTTGGAGGCCATCACACGCGCTAAACCGTGAGGCAAAAACCCGTGCCATCCCGGTTTAGCTCGTACCACTGCATTCCCTCCACAATCTTTGTGAGGATCCGACGCCCTCCGCATTCCGCCATCCCGTCCGAAGACGAGAAACCCCGAGGTTTGGCCGCTGGACACACCTCCTTCCAGTTGGTGGGCGTGAAAGATCCTCCGTGGCACCGTGTGCCCTGGGTTCAATGGCCAGGACCCGGGTCCGGGTCGAGACGACTTATACTCAGGCTGAAAAACAGCTGAAAAACCCACTGTGTGTGCTTAAAGGAAACGAGTCACTCTCAAGGTGCCACTCTCAGAGTGCCATGTGAGTTTCTGGAGTACTGTATAGTTCTTGAGACCTGAAAAGCTCGGGTTCCGAGGACCTTCACCGGGAAGGGCGATGTAGCATATGTATGCAGGGAGTTCGAATCACTGTGATGATGTTTTCTCAAAAATCAGGTTACGATTCCTATTTTCAACTTCAGCAGTTCAAAAGACATACATTCCAGGACCATCCTGTCTCGGTGTCCTGTTTGATCCCTAAGTAGTGTACTAGTAATCATGGATCCAGATATTTCAAGCCTCAGTCGTCCCCACAGCACCTCGCCCACCACATGCTACTCACAGGAGGACCCACGCTGCATGACCTGGTGCTCCCGTCCCAGCAGCTGGGCGTGCGCACTGTCGGGGATGGTCCACGCGGGACTTCGAAGAAGTCCGTTTCCAAACAAGCACCTGTTGGATTTCAGACCCAGCCGGTTTTTCAGACCCAGCCGGTTTTTGGAGCAATATACACACCACACACCACCCACGTCGTGAAAACACGTTCGCTTGGAATGAAGAACCGCTTGGTGTGACCCCCAAAGCCTTTCGGTGGAGAAGGTCCTTTCCCTCTGCCGTCGGGGCCGTCGGGAAGGGCAGAGACTGAGTTTTGGGAAGCTGAAAGACCTGTGGGCAAGGGTAAGAGCAGCTGAACACCAGCGAGGTGCTGCAGAGGCGCCCCACAAGCCATCAGTTTGCGGGAGTGCTCATGAAGATTCATGTGGATTCTTTCAAGTTGGCCTGTTTTCAGAGAGGTTTGGTTTGACTTTTGTTTTGCACTGCTTAACCCGGTTTACAGCAGTCAGGGGCGTTTTCTAAGAGAACTTGTATTTATTCCACAGGTCACGAAAGCTAGCACCAGCTAGCTGGAGTTGTCCTTGCTTTAGCAAGTGAGGGGCTGGAATCCTCGAGATCGCCGCATCACGTGAAAACTTCATATGTAGGTGCCCCCCCCCGTGGGTTCAACTCCCCCCTGGGACGCCTCCGGGACACCTCTCGGGCACCTCTTATGGCATCCACTTTGGTTTAACTCCTCCGGGATACGGTGCAACAGATTCAACAAGCTCACAGGTTCATGACATCGACATTGATAGAAGAAAATCATGAGACCAAGTAAATCATGCAAGCAGCTTTGTTTTGCCTCTGGGACACCTCTTGGGCACCTCTTATGGCATCCACTTTGGTTCAACTCCTCCGTGGAGGTTTTGGGATACGATGCAACAGATTCAACAAGCTCACAGGTTCGTAAACACATCGGATGCATCGAATAGTGTGGCAAAGTCCAGCCACGCTTCCTTAATTATCGGGGACTTCAATTCTAAGGTTGGCTGTGTCATTGCTGTTTGTGTGTCTTACATGTTCACAACGTTTTACCTCATGAGCATTTGCCTCAATCCGCTTGATGTCCCACCAGTCCGGATGCACCCCTGCTAGCTTTCGTCACCTACCCTCGGCCTCAAGTTGGGTTCTGGTCCATCGCCGCTCCCTCAACAAACTCTCGTGTGCTTCTTCGCTTTGCCTCGCTTCTCGAGGCCCATCGAATGGGAGGGCGACAAACGCTTGTCACCCTTTCCAGCTTGGCTCTCTTATATCCCTTACCAGGCTGGGTGAGTGGAGGCACCTGTAATAAACTTTATGCACACACTCACCTTTGCCTGTGCCTATATCATATATTACATACAATATATATATATAATATATATATATGTGTGTAATTAGGCCTGGAGCTCCGGTCCATGGCCACCTTTCTTTGTGTCGGTGAGGTGGCGGTGGCCGGTTTTGTCGCGTACGCACGCTTATACTCCGACCGTGAACTCCAGGAGTATGGCTGGAGTATGGCCGTTGTTATCAGGCCGAGATGCTCCCAACAGCCTTTGGTCCCTCAATATCTCAATATCCCTCAAAACGGCTCTGAGACTCCAGACCTCTGAGTCGAAGACGAAACTGATCTGTTCATAAATTCAGTTCCATGTCTATGAGGTTTTGATCATTAGAGGAGACCCCCCTTGCCACCTGCTACGCAGACCTAAGATTTGTTCGGATGGCATTGCTTAGGTTGAAGATTGGTAAATTTAACATTGAAAAGGTCAATTGAAACTGATGACCAATCTAGGGAAACTGATGACCAATCTAGGGAAACTGATGACCAATCTAGGGAAACCCTTCATGTGTTCAATCAAACTGTTTTGGAAGCTGCCCCGTTCAAACCTTGTCTTGGGAAACATAATGACAGCTGTAATCTTATTGATCTTTGGCATATGTGTACCAAGACCCAATGCGGAGATTCTTGTGTGGCGGAAGTTGCTATAGAATGCTATAGACACTTATAATTAGGTGGGGTCGGGGGTGGCATGAAGCACCGTTTTCTTCACATTCCCTTTTGCTTGATGCTTTTTGGTGTGCAAACCAACTTGCCGAAAGGCACAGCGCTGCCTTCAGCAGCGTCGTTAGGAGGATTTTTCCCCACGAACTGACTGAGACGAAGAATCAAGTGCTCAGACCGTTGGGGGACATGGAGTTTCCCACAATCAAGGTGTTTCTTGATTCTTCCTCCTCGATGTTGCCACAGAACACACGGACGACCATGGGATGGCGTCCAACGGAGGTCCTAACCTATACATCAGTTGTAAGTCCCGATTACTTTTTCACAGAATTCTTCAGCTCAGCTTCACCTGTCACAGGAGGCCGTCTTTTGCCCATGCTTGGACAACAAAGAGCCCTGGCGTGGGAAAGGATGCCCAGACACTCCATGGGACTGGAATATATGCATGCATCGGCCCTCGTCAAGCACCCCAATCTAGGCAAAATATGGCATACCACTCGCTATTCCGCTTCTGTAGCAGTTTGATCTTGCTTTGCTTCGTTCAGTGGCGGCGCTCGTGTCAGATCCATATGTTTGTTCAGGTCGGAGTAGCGCATCCGTCGCACTGAAGCAATAGGATGTTAGCTTTGTTGCCCGACGTTGGAACCTTGGTGGGCAGATGCTTTTTACTTTCACCTACCAGCACCCTCCAACAGGTCTCCTTTGGAGGCTTGTTAGGCCCTAACAGGTTTCCATTGGTGACCTGTTGGAGGGTGCTGGTATAGAAGGAGTTAGAAGGGTACCAGTGAGAGGCAGAATGCTTTCTGCAAGATCTACCCGAATCTACAACTGTTTGAGCTGAACGTGGAACAGTTCGGCGTACCACCATCCTCTTTCTACAAGATGTGTTTTTCCCTTTCCTGCTTGAAATGTGCAACTTGTTCTTTGAGTTTCAGACTTGCAACAACAAGCAACCACCGAACAAAGGGTCGTTTTTGGTGCATGTATAAGGTAACTGTATATAATACCCAGACACTCCATGTATGCCATATATGCCTACATTGACCCCCCAAACCACCCCAACTGATCGGCATATATGGCAGTCCCAGACGGGTCGTGTTTGGGATAGGTCTTTTCCGCCACTGTTTGCGTGGAAAGCATGGCGTCTCAGGACTGGGTCAAGGCCGGCTTCCTCCCGTTGTTGGATTCAGCTCCTGCGGTGGCGTCGACGCCCATCCCCCGCTGGACCAATAGCATTTGCAGCCTGGAGGAACAGCCCAAGCGCGCCAGACAGGAGTGGTCAGCGGAGGCGGCTTGGGGCGTAGCAAAGCGTGATCACCCAGTTGAAACATGTGGAAACAACATGAGGAAACTGAATGTTTTGGGTTTGTCCGATCTTACCTGTAACAGTCAGTAAAACAAGCAAATCACTACTTTTGGACAAGTCCTCTACTAACCAACATCATCCACTGTTACAGGTAATAGGATAGACCCAATGAAAACAAAAAAGAGACGAACAGTAGATCATGTAGATCCTTTATGACACACCTGGGTGTTGTCCAGCCAATTTGGAGATCGACCAGCTTTCGGAGTTGGGGTAGTCCCGTGTTTCTCGTTGGAGATCAGTTAAGCATGAATCAAGTTATCAGTTTCTTTTCCTGAGAACCAGGTGTTTGCGCAGCTGCGAAGCCAAGCGCACATAGATCCATGAAAACATGCTATTTTTGACACATTCCGACGCCGTGGCAGTGATAGCGTACCTTTTCCATGGCTTCGCATGGCTCATATAGAGTTTGTTGGCTCCCCCGGCAGATGAAGGGGTGGAAGACGGGGAAATCCAAGCGGTTGAGCCGCTGGGTTGGGCCGCTGGTCGTGGCTTAGACGTTGGGCCTCGGAAAAGCCCAACGAACACCGAGAGCCGCCTTATGGGAACATGGAGAGTCGCCTTCCTGTGGCCCATGCCACTGAACGGGCCCGGTTTGAGTCAGCATGTCGGACGGGAGAGTTCTTGGGAGTGTCAGGTGGCCGCCTTGCAGAGTTGTTTTTTTACAGGATCCAGTTGGCAGAAGGCGGAAGGCAACTATGCCGTATTTGTGTGAATCTGAAGAGGGTCCTTCACACTCCCAATGACACTGGGACGAACAGCAACAAGCTCCATTTTCGTGCCACACCAACCACACCAACCAGACGCCACTCTCTGGTCTGTCGGCTCAGTCAGACTCACAGGAGGACCGGACACCCGCGCAGGAAATGCCGGAGCTCTCCCCGAAGTCCATGCCCAGCTTCCCCGACACCGGCCCTGCGCCGCTTGGGTTTGACAAATATGCAAAAGAGTGGTGGCATAGGCTTGCACGTCTGCATTGTGATAAGGATGAGGCATCATGTCAGCCTGAAGCAAACGTGGCGTGACATGTTATGATATGGTTGTTTTCTGGTGATGTCAAACTTGACTTCCCTCGGGTTCATATTTGGATGCTTTGTGCCTGGCGGCGGCTGCGCTGCAACTTTCAGAATGGCAAACAATTGTGTTCAAACAAACAACCTTCCAGATTTCTTGTGGAACGGTGTCATGTGCCACCGAAGTTCTCAAGTCAGAGCTACCATAGGGACCTCATTTGACACCTTTGTGACACATAGACCGGATCCTCCTCACAACTCGAGGACCAGTGCTCGATCGGCATCCCAGACCGCACGCGAGGCTGCGCTCCTTCCGGATCTCGTCCAACCAGAAGACCTGGGACGAGATCAGGCGGAGCACGGAGCACGGTCGAAACGCGCGGCGGAGCACGGACGAAACGCGCTGAAACGGTTCGAGTCGGCGGAGTCGGCGGAAGATCGTATCTTCCTCGCCGGAAGTGGACCGGGACATACGAAAGGCTCGACGAACTGGAGCAGAGCAGGTGCAGCTGAGGAGGTGCGGAGCAGTCCATGCCTGCTCACTGGACTCTGAAAGGTTCTATCAGATTCTATCATTTGGATAGCTAGCTATTGCTCAGGAGGGAGCTAAGGAGCCAGGGGCATCCTATTCCCCATTCAACAGGGAGCCGAGGAGCTACAAGGAGTTCCCCAACCCCTTACTATATAGATAGTCATTTGGGTGTTTAAAGGCCATGAGTGACCATGCAACTCAGTTGGATTTCTCGGGATTCTCCGGGAATACCACAGCGATGCGCACATTTGTCAAACTGGCTGATTGATTTGATTGACTCGGACGCCTTGTCTCCTGTCCGACAACTGCGCGGTCACTCCGGCGTTTTCGGTCGCCGCTCCCCACAGCCCAGCCGCGTGTCGCTCATGGGGACGCCCCCAAGTATACTGCATTGTACAAGCTATAGATAGGTTAGTTAGGTTCATAGAACCTAGTGCATTATACCCACAAGTCATTGCTTTCCCCGGCAAGTCAGTGGAGATTCCATGAGATTCCGCCACAGGCTGCCGCGCCTGCGCGCGCATCTCAGTAAGTCCAAGAAGTCCTACCACTGCTACGCCCCCGCCGCATGCCACGAGCGGTTCCGGGGTGAAGTGATACCGTGGCTGGGAGGCTGGGGAGGTTGCAGCGCATTCTGGGTGAGAACTGCTGACAATGCAAAAGCGAACGTAAAATGTCAATTCAACTGCACTCGTTTGGTGTTTGTGTGTGTGAGAAGGAGTTGGAAGATCGTTGTCCAGGATCAAGTTACCGGACAAAATAAGGGAAACCCTGAAAACCCCACATGCATCCTGACTGGTGCCCCGACGCAGCCTTGCATACTTTGATGTTTTTTGTTTTGAAGTGCTGCAAAGTTGCATTGCTGGCGCAATCAGTGTCCACGATTTTTCGGTACACCGTTTACACCGTCTACACCGTTTACACCGTTTACACCGTCTA